CCGTGCTGGCAGCAGTGACTGGTGAGCGTGCAGCCACGACTTCCAACGCTGCTCACCGGACCAGTGCCAGTTCTTCCAGAGGAGAGTTTATCTGGGAACAGCTTAGCGGCATCCCCAGTTCCCCTCTCTCCTCCCCAGAGGAGAGCAGAGCTGCTGCAAGTGTGATCTCTGCACCAGGCTGGCAGGGACCAGCAGCACTAGCGTCCTGACTTGCGCCTGGTGGCTTCCTGGCTGGCAGCGGAGCAGCGTCCTCGTGGACAGCTCTGTCCTCCTTCAGAGAGATGAGCAGAAGGTTACTGCCCCTTTCCAAGGGGCCCGGAGCAGGGCAGGGTCTGGCTGGCAGGATTGCTGGCAGGACATGGGGCAGGGGGGCCGTTCAGCTGACGTCCAGCCGGGCACCCGTCTGCCAGGCCGTCTGGTGCGTACGTGCAGCGAGCTGTCCTGTGTGACGGGACCTGCTCCTCGGAGATGCTATGAGAGCTCATTGCTCCACCACCCTTCTTTGTAATGCAGCCCAAAGCCAGCAGTGCAAGATGTGGTCTCCAGCCTTGCTTCCCAGCGCCACCCAAGGAAGCGGCACCCCCACGGCTGCTCAAACCCTCCGCCCTTTTCTGTAGTCACTCTGGGAGAAGCGGAGAGAGGCGAGCATGGCAGGGCACAGCTCTGCGCTGGCCGTGATGGCGCCCCAGGGTGCCGGTCCTGCGTGTTGCCTTGCAGCTGCACCGCAATGGCCATCCGTCTCTCCAGCCATCACAAGCACCTGACTTTTGGGAGCTGGAGTTGTTTCTTGGGCTGGCCTGGGGCCTCCTACACACCCTGATTTGTTGGTACCTATGATGGCTGTTGCGGGCAGCCACGGGCATCAGCATGGGCCCTTGGTGGGAATAGTCTGTCCCTGCTCTAAGGAGCTCAGAGGTAATTTCTCTGCACCCCCATTGCTGCCAGGGCTGACCAGAGATCTAGGATGTCCCTTGTTTGCCCAGGCCCTGTCTTCATACGGTATCTCCTTAAACAGCCTCTGTCCTCTTCCATGAATGACCGTTACTTTCAGGGAGCTTGAGTCATTTTGAAGGACCAGCACTGGCAACTAGGGTGTCCATAGCTGAAGCACACCCTGCCGGTTTGTTGTGGGTGTCCAGCACAGCGCTTGAACCCTGGGTCTCTGATAGCCGACAACATGCCCAGGACAAAAACGCAAAGTGTGAGAGGATGTGCGCTGTGCTGGTAGCTAGCTTGCTGCTTTGGAGCTTGCCAGAGCGGGGAATGCGTTGTTCCCAGCCCTCCCCAGTCCTCTCCTGGGAGCAGCAAGCCTGTTGCCCCAAGGGAGGCTGTGAAATCCCTGCGTGGAGGCAGTTCTGTGGGCTGATCTGCTCATCCTCGTGTCCTCATAGCTGGAGTCAAAGGCAGGCAAAGGGATCTCAGAGCGAGCACTGCCAGACTGGAAGGTGGCGTTGAAGAGGGAGCGAGAGGAGCACCAGCATCTCCTGGCTGAGTCCTACAGCGCTGTCATGGACCTCACCAAGCAGCTCCAGATCAGCGAGAAGAACTGGAACCAGGAGAAGGTGGAGCTGCTGGCCCGGTTCAAGGAAGAGCAGCAGCAGGCAGAACAGCAAGTAAAGGACCTGCAGAACAAAATCAACCAGGTACGGGGTCCCCTGTGCATGCACAGGTGCTCCAGCCTTTGTTGCTTAACCCCTGTACGTGCCCTGAGAGTGCGTTAACGTGCTGGGGGGCAAGCAGCCAACGCTTTGCTTGCGCAGAGAGCCAAGCAGCCAGGTCTTGTGCATGTCAAGTGACCAGTGTGTTCTCCAGTTGCAGAAAGGAGCCAGCCCATGGGCTTTGAAGCACTCTGAAGTGGAAAAGCATGGCAGCAACTGGAAAGAGGTGGGCAGGAGAGGGCTGAGGGGTGGGTGAAGACGGGCTGCCTGGCCCCGTGCTGCTTCTCGAGGTGCAGCCCACCCCATCTGCACTGGGACACAATGCAGCCTGCTCAGGTGCCTTGCGTTATGCTGGCGTGCAGAGCTTTGTTGTGCTTGACTGTATGCTGAAAGGCACGTGGAGCTGGCGTGTGCCCAAATAATCACTGCCTTGAACAGCAAACACAGTCTCCCTGGCTGTGTTTGCAAGGGACATGCCAAGAATTAGGGAGAAGCAGACAGTAGAGAAGGTGGTTTGTCCTGCCTTCCTGAGTCCCAGGGGCTTCGGTGGGGTCCATGGGCATAAAAAAGTTGATCTACAACATTCATGGGCACAGGGAGCCCCTTGTAGCTCTAGGAACAGGATGTAGGGCCATGGCATACAGGGGAAGGTGCTACTGCTTGGAGAGGAGCAGGGTGCAGCCTCTGCCCCAGCGCATCATGTGCCTTGGTCCTGTGCATACTGACGCTAGAGCTTTCTTCCATGTCCTCCTAGGCTCTGAATGAAAAAATCACAGACAAAGAGACAATCTCTGAAGCAGAAGCCAAGGGCACCAACTTAAAAAGGTGAGAGAGTCATGCCTGTTGCAGAAGGTGCCTCGTTGTTCCCCAGGGCCAGGAGCAGGCTGCAAGGGCTGAGCCAGGATGTCCCTGGGCTCGGCAGCTCTGCAAGTCTGGGCAGAGGTGCCCATGGCTGGCCTACATGGCACAGGAAGGCCTGCAGGGCTGGCCGGGTGCAGGGCCTAGGGCTTGCTTTGCTGGGTGGCAGGGAGGGGAGGGGGAAGACTGCCCTGCTGGAGGTCCTTTATCATGGTGCTTCCCATGATGGAGAGCCCCTATTGCCCCCTGAGGGGTGCCCAGGAGGGATCCCATTGGGATGGTCATTGGCTCCTGGATGCCTCCAGCGGCGCACCACCCCACTGCCCTGTCCCGTGGCTGGTAGCCTAGCTGCCTTGCCAGGCATGTTGTGATCCCTGTCCTCTCTTCTCCCCTCAGGACAAAGTCCGTTTCCTCTATGTCAGAGTTTGAAAGCTTGCTCGACTGTTCTCCCTATCTCCCTGGAAAGACTGCACCAGGGCTAGTCGACCATTCCCGAGGCAAAAAAGCATCTCCGGCCACACAGCTGCTGCCCAACAGCATCCGGGACAGTGCCAGCGTTCCTCCCCCAAACTGTACATATGTGAATATTGAGCAACCTGTCCCTGACAGCCTGGCCAAAGAGAAGCTGGGTATCTCCTCCTGGGACTACTCCCGGGCAAGCAACCTCTCTGGGCATGACCCATCCCAGAAGCAAATGCAGAGGAGCTACACGGCACCCGACAAGACGGGGATCCGTATCTACTACAGTCCCCCTGTGGTCCGAAGGCTGGAGGCGCCTCTGGTCCACAACAAGGAGGGGAAGATTATGATTGAACCTGGTTTCTTGTTTACGATGGCCAAGCCAAAAGAGCCAGAGGAGTCAGACAGCACCGAAAACACGTATAGCCAGTGGCTATGCAACTTCTCCAAGCAGCACCGAGAGCTGCTGGATGGCGGCACAGTGGAGAGCACGGTGCCTCCAGTCCCCCGGTTCCCATCCTCCCTGCACGACCTGGAGATCTCTGGCAACATGAGCGATGACATGAAGGAGATCACCAACTGCGTGCGGCAGGCCATCCGCTCCAGCTCGCTGGAGAGGAAGGTGAAAAGCACTTCCAGCCAGACAGTGGGGCTGGCAAACGTGGGGACCCAGACCATCCAGACGGTGAGTGTCGGCCTGCAGACGGACCTGCCCCGGAGCAGCATGCACAGCAAGAGCTGGTCCCCGCGCAGCTCTTCCCTCATGTCTATGCGCAGCAAGCAGATCTCGTCCTCTCTGGACAAGGTCCACTCCAGGATCGAGCGGCCGTGCTGCTCCCCAAAGTATGGCTCCCCAAAACTCCAGAGAAGGTCTTCCTCCAAGCTGGATGCCACCAAGGACAGGAGCCTCTGGAACCTCCACCAGAGCAAGCAAAATGGGTCTGCCTGGGCCCGGTCCACAACGACCAGGGATAGTCCCGTCCTCAGTAACATCAATGACGGCTTGTCCAGCTTGTTCAGTGTGGTGGAGCACTCCGGTAGCACGGAGTCCATCTGGAAACCGGGCTGCCCGGAAAGCAGGGCCAAGCCCGAAGCCCCCAAGTACGGCATTGTGCAGGAGTTCTTCAGGAACGTCTGTGGGAGGGCGCAGAGCCCCACAGCCACCACGGAGAAGAAGGAGGCCGTTGGTGAGGAGAGCAGCAAGAAAGTGGAGCACCCCACCCCTGCCACCTACCACCAGGTCGAAAGCGTCTCCCGCATCTTGAACAAGAAAGTCCTCAAGCAGAGCAGCTGTGAGGACCCAAAGCCATCGTCCCCAGGCCCAGGGAGTAAGGACACGGCCCCCCGGGACCCAGACCTCATCTCGGCTATAGCCAGCGAGGTAATGGCTCTTGCTTTGTCCTGACTGTAGCGTTATGTCCTAGGGCAGGGCAGGCGTCTGGGTGCTGCCTGATACCCGGAGCATGTTACCTCCTGCCCTGGGCGAGATGTGGGCTGCTTTGGTGGATGGCTCGGTGCCTTGCCGTGGCAGCCTGGCCGTGACCGCAGCAAAAGTTCTTCTCTGCCAGGAGGGACCGTGGGTCCCTCTGCGCGGCCGGGGTGCAGCCTGGTTCCCAGAGCAGGATCAGGGCGCGCTGCCCCCCCCCCCGC